TATTGTAAAATAATATAAAAAAAATTTTTATCAATTGTGTAACAATTTTATGACGTTCAACGTTTCCTCCTGTTTGTGTAAATTGTATATTTTCATTTCAAGAAAAAAATGTAACAAAATCCTATTAACGATTACATAATTACATACAGCTGAAAATAACACGTGCTTTTAAGCCACTTCATTGTGACGGATTAAAATGAAATCAGATTAAAATGAATGAATGATAGTGTCACCACCGAATAATACAAATTTTTGGAGTGCATTTTTTTAGGGTTAGGATTAGGGTTTAGAGTAGTATTTATAATAAACATGTATAAGTGGGTTCAAATAGAACCCCTCATTTCATTTTAATCTGATTTCATTATTACATTATCGTTATGTCTCTTACTTAATTTCATCTGCATATTTATTTATTTAATAATATTTAAGATTATACCTATTTTTTTATACACAATATTTCATAACCTCATCTTATTCGCGTTAGGTAAATATTATATAAAATAGGCTAGATCATAAATATTATTACAAAAGACCTCTAATTTAAATTTATCTCATCCTTATTCTTTGATTAATAAACTATCTCTTATTTAATTTCATTATAGTATTGATTAGTCAATGAAGAAATTTATCATATTTTTATTTGCTAAAGTAAACCCAGATCTTTCACAAATTTGTGTATTCTGAAACGCTAGCCTGGACACTTTACATGTGCATTATACGTGGGAAGGATATATAAACTGGTAAATATCTAAGTAGACACAAAATTATTAGGTAGTAAAAGGAGAGAGGGTCTGGTAAATATATTTAAGAAAAAATCATTAATAATAACCTCATGAATATACTACAGTATTAAAATTGGTGTCTATAATAGCTCCCCAGAGAAAACTAGTCATAATCTAAATCAGGCTAATTATAACACAACCTTTAATTAGCGGAGAAATGATTATCGGAAGAATAAGTGCCACCACTTGGAGTATTGTAATCAAAATTTGAGAGAGCAAGTTCAGGATTATTAGGCTCTGAAGAAATAAACATTAAAATAAATATTAAAATATAAAAGTAATACAATACAAAACCACATAAATAATAACCCTGGTTATATAACAAAAAGTACACCAGGGAAGTTTTATATAAATGACAGATTTATTTGAAGGTTACAACGCCCGACTCGGTTGGCTTATGTATAATTTCATGTGATTTAAATAATAACATATGAATAAACAAATACCGTAATGATTTGACAATAAGTCCACGGAAGGAGGAAATTGCGGTGTTTCTAGAGAAATATTGAAAAAAGGACCAGATATCTGGTTTAATTTCTCCTCAAGAGAGTTTATTCTGGCATTGAGAAAGTTGGTTTCATATTCAAGAGAATTTATTCTAGCATTTAGAGAATTGTTTTCAGATTCAGTAGATGAGATTCTATTTGAAAGGAAAGCAATAGCATCTTTAAACTTTTTATTTTTAAGCCTTTGGTAAGATTGAGAATTATAAATGGATTTTTGAAGACGGTCAAACATAGTAACATGAGAGTTATTTTGAGACATCTCTGTTTAATACAGAACAAAAAGGTAGAGACCGTCTATTTATACTTACATTGGATTTTTTTTTTAATCGTAAAGTTTAGAAAAAATGGTTTGTTGAGTTGAAGGAGGGCTTCGAAAGGGTTTATATAAGCAATTTTGGATTAACGTCTGAATATAAAATCATCGGTTCTTTTTGATCAATTTTTCCTACATCTATAAGTGATCGGTACGATTTCATAATCGAATTCTAGAAATCAATCAGCATCAAAAATATGCACATGATTTCAGTAATTTCAGTAATTTCAGTAGCAGTGTTACAGTTATTTGTAAAAAAGGAAATCCAATACAAAAGTGCAAAAGGATAACTACTGGATTGGTCATTTTAATCACTTTCAGTGCGTAATGCTTTCCACAGTCGAATTCGAGAATTCAGTAAATTCAGTGTTCTTTCCATAGTCGAATTCGGGAATTCAGTATATTCAGTGTTTTTTTTTTCGTGTTAGTCATTTGCACTAGAATTATTTTTCCCAAAACTGGTTCTTACGAGTAAACTTATTTGGTAGTATAATATCGGATAACATATAATGTTTTCATTCAATAGATAGCTTATCTGATAATATGTAGAAATCGGGTAAACATTCGTGCAGAGAATGTAAACGAAAGTATTAACGTCAGCAAAGATAGATTATCCGGATGCATTGTCCGAATAACTGTATTTGTATCATCAGGCGGTACGTACCATAAAGAATTCCGTGTTATCGGTTTTAAATTTATCACGAGTAGGGATTGGCTATAAAACTATGTATTCTTACTTAATTAATTTTACTAAATATTACACAAGATTTTTTGCATTAAGTAATAATAAGTGATGCTTACGATGTTTCTATTTTTAGTAGCAAATATAATTTTTATTAGCGAAAACAGAACATGGTTAAATCAGTTTTTTAAATCGATTTGCCGTATGATTCATCATACGTATATACAATTATTACATAATATTAGATAAAGGATAAATCATAAGTTATTATTAAAGATTCTCAATTTTGCCAGATCATTTTTTCCGTATATGTGTATGTGGTGTAATTATTCGTGCATACGTTGATTGGATTGTGTCGATTTGTGCTGTAAGTGGTTTAGGTTTTACAACTTTTTTGTAGTTTGTGACGTCTTTCTGCAGAAGATCTACGGACAAAATTTCCTCCTAATTCTAAGAAAGGAAATTTTCATTCGTCATTTTTGTAATACTTATAGATTCATAATAGCGAGTACAAGTAAAAGTACAAGTACAAGTGCAAGTGCAGGTACAAGAAGAATTATTTGCTTTCGATTTGCAAAGAAAAAAAAGTCACGATCCGATGCAAATAGTAATAAAAGAACTTCGCGTTTACTGTTTTTTGGGCCTTTGTCTAGATTCAAAGGTGTGTTTTAGCGGTTTTTTTGTTTTTTTTTTGCCGGATTTTTTACAGGGTAGATGAATTGATAATCATTGATCGTCAAAGACCAGATAAATAGTTGTTCGAAGCGAAGATTTTGCTGACCTTTTTGGCTTTTGTCGTCATCATTTATTTTATTTATTTATTTATTTAAATAATTATTTTTTTATTTTAATTATTTATTACTGTATCGAAGGAGCTATCATAAATACTTCATTCTCCAAATTCACAAGTAACTTTGACATAAATAGCACTAGTGCGACGGGTGGCGCGAAGCGCCACCCATCTTATTTGTTTAATCAATTTCTGTTAAAGATTCTTTACAGTATTTGTTATTTATTGCAATATGCGCGATATGTAATTAAATTTTAATAAGTTTAATCAGAATTATTTATTAATGTGGTTACAGTTAAGATTGTCAATTTTTATCATAATTCAAAGTAAAAATTTCTATTATAGAACTTGCTATTCGATAATTATGGTATGTAGTCGTAGTTGAGTTTATTGCATTAGAATTATTATTACGGTTAATCACACATTCTCTTGAAACACAATCATTAAGATGAATAGAATTAAACTTTATATTCACCTTGGTAATTTATTGAACGATTGAATAATTACGGTTAATCAATGTCATGTAATACAATTATTAGAGCGAATCGAATTAAACTTCGTACTCACCCCGGCGATTGAATTATTACGATTAATCAATGTCTTGAAACACAATCGTTAAAGCGAATCGAATTAAACTTCATACTTGTCCTGGTAATTTATTTAAATTATTAAATGATTAGGTTGATTACACGTCTCTTGAAATACAATCGTTAAAGCGAATCGAATTAAATTTTGTACTCACTCTGGTAATTTATTCGAAAGATTGAATGATTATGGTTAATCAATGTCTTGAAACACAATCGTTAAAGTGAATCAAATTTAACTTTATACCTACTTTGGTAATTTATTTGAACGATTAAATGATCATAGTTAATCGCATGTTCTCTTGAAACACAATCATTGAATTAAATTTCGTACTCACCCTAGTAATTTATTGAGCAATTGAATGGTTATGGTTAATCACATGTTCTCTTGAAACACAATCGTTAAGGCAAATTTAACTAACTTCATACTCACTTTGTAATTTATTGAATGATTATAGTTAATCAATGTTTTAAAACACAATCATTAAAGCGAATCAATTTAAACTTCGTACTCACCCTG